CCTCGCTAGTAAACGTCTAGCTTATTTATATATGCTGAATAGAATCCCCTCTCCCCCACCATCATACAAGATACACAGAGCATGAATAACCCTTGGATGAAGAACACCTAAGTTGCCTTACTTGTGAGTTTCAACTGAATGATAACCAGTTTAGGTTTATGTTTCAACGTATTTGAAAAGACATTGTGTGCAATAGTTCCAACATCCAATTAATTTAGTTTAATTTATTTCATAACTATTGCTTAATCAGAATTTTTCAAAGTTGGAGATGGGAAGCCCCCAGACCCCCCCCCCCCCCCCGCCTTCTACTGCGCCTACCCCCCCCCCCCCCCGCCCCGTTACGAAATTCCTTTATCCGCCGCTGTAGACAAAAATACAAAGAAGTTTTTCGGTATAAAGTTAAGAAATGAACGGCTGCACATTTTAAGTTCATGTTAGGACAGATCTTGTAATTTCTTAACTTTAGGCGAAATCTTAAGATATGTCTTAAGTTATGACAGATTTGATGTCCTCACTTTGAACTATAGTTCGTAAGTTTTTGGATAGTTCTTAAGATACGTCTTATTCATTCCTTTAATTATCCACTCATTCATTTAGCGCTGTGCATTGCTTTACTAACACTTTATTGTCTTTGCTCAGTATCTGTTATTTACATAAACCCCCCTATTTCGTAAAATGTAGCATTCCAGTTAGACTGCGTAAAGGGTTTATTCCATTTTTTTGTTACACTGATTTCTATTGGTCAGAATGGTTGAATCCAGTTTAGCGGGAAGTATTTTACTCTGAGAATTGGTTTTGGAAAGGATGTGAATTTTGTAATAATGTAGGTAAATTCAATAAATAATTACAACAATAAATAAACTTATTAAGTACATAAATAATAACTGTTTATGTGTTGTTATTACTTTATGGTTGATACTTGATAATGTTCCAACATATTCCAAAATATCCATTATATCCCAAATATAAACTATTTACCTGAACTCCTTTGGAGCTTGTTGGAGTCTCATTGTTGAAATTTCATATTGGCCTAAAATAAATGATTCGCGCAAATATACACATATTTTGCGTTTTATTTTCAATTTCCGAAGGAACGAAAGGATGTTCAGTTTCTTTTATTAAAAAAATTATTTTACTTTTAATTTATTTGAGGAAAGCTCAATGAAGTTGACAGAAGAGTTTATATATACAGGTCGTAATTAGATAAAAAAAAAATTATCTATTTTTTTTTTTTAAAGTTTGTTAAGGTGCGCCTTGTTTTCCTTACTATTTAATTTGTATTGATAACTTACCAACGAGTTTGTTTTTAACAAACTCTATCTCTTCTGATGGACTAGATATTATGTTCGTCATATTTTCATACAGAGGTTCTGGCATTTGGTTGGCATTTCCATTTGATGGTTTTGGATTTTTCTTCTTCCTCTGTCCAATTCCAAACTTAGTTAATGCTTTTACAAAAACGGCATTTGAATCAGAGGAATCAAGTTCCTCTAAAAACCCCTCATGTGATGTAAACTTTGTTCTATCTAACCTCCGCCCATTTTTATTACCACGGAAATGAAACTGAAAATACAGTTTTAACATTTATTAGTCTCAATACAGAATTTATCGGAAGGTATCTATTTCTAACCACTGGGGTCAAGAACATAAAATCTCACACTCAACTTATTATTGCTTTTCAAAGAATATGTAAAAATCCGTGAATATAGTAACACCCCCCCCCCCCACCCTTCGCCAATCTATTATAATAGTGTTTTTTTTAATGCATATCTTTTTATTACATGTACCATTGGTTTTTTCATTGTTTCCTTTCTTCTCCTATTACTTTTTCCACGTGCTGCTTTTGTTTTCCTTGTTTACTTGTAAATCAGTACCCCCCCCCCTTTTCTTTCTTTTTTCAAAAAGGCCTAAGTAATGATCTCTGAGCATTTCATTGTTTTATATAAAATGAGGTTGAAGCAAAAGCGGGTACAGTGTAGAATATATATCGTAAAAGGTGTCTTTAATTTTATATTAGTGCATGTGATGGATATATGACCCCCCCCCCCCTTCCTATATATTTCAGTTAAAATATCATTGTTTTACTCACCCATAATTCTGTGGAGGTCCGTCCATAATCAACATATTGGAGAGGTCCCAGATCTCCCCCGTCTGCAATGTTTGCAGCCCTCCCTCCATTTATAAATAAATATATATCATTTTCTGATTTTTGCAAACTCCAATGCACAGCCATTCTTATTCTGCCTATAGTACTTCTGCAATGCTGTGAATATTGCGTCAATTTTTCTCACGTGACGTCATCACTTTTGTTGCACTCTTGCTTGGTGCATGTACATGAATACGTTCAAGGGGCAGTTCTTGCACAGCACAGTTGATAAATGGTAAGAATTAGCTATTTATTTATTTATTTATTGGAATATTTGAATTATATTAAGCATACAGTAATTGATTAAGAGTTTTAAAATACTTGCTATTAGAAATACTTGTAAAATGTTAAGTAAGTTTATTCTGAATGGAATTTATTCAGTGATATGTACCTTTCTTCTTGTAATTTCACCCCCCCCCCTTTTTTTTTTTAAAAAGAAATTACAAAATCAGCAGGGCCGTAGCTTGACTTAAAATTCTAGTGAGGCAAAACGATTGCGGCCGGGGGTCTGGGACTGCCTTATGCCCTAAGCAGGTCCAGGGCAGAGCTCTGGTGGGGGGTTTAGGGGGCGAATCCCCCCCCCCCCCAACACACACACACAGAAAACGAATTTGGGGGTTTTAGAATGTAAAAATCACACTTGTCCTGAACAGAAATTTCGTAATTTTACCCGTTTCATTTTTGAAGACTTCAGCAGGTATATGATAATACATATTTCAAAAGTATTTAATAGAATAAATAAAAATGTTTATTCAAACTTCTAACACATTCGAAGATAATTTGATATTCAATTCGATTCATTTTTTTTTTTAATTTAAAACTTTAACTGAATCCGGCGTAGTTTGGATCCATCAAATCTGGGAAGTATATTGTGAACAGAAACCGTCTGTTGTCTTTTTTTCGTATCATTAGTTTTAAAAACTAAATGAATATTTTCTGCAATGTATTATTAATTCTGGGAAGGGGTGGTGCTGAAAATTCTAGTGAGGCAGTTGCCTCATTGCCACAATGGAAGCTACGCCCATGGAATGAAGGGTAATAATTCACTGATTAGAGAAATAAGTAACATAAAGAATAAATTCGAAGAAGTAGATCTGCATTATTTAAGATTTCCCCCTTTTCCTGGCCAGATGGAGTAAAGTTTGACAATTTAACGTGGGTCTTAAATAATATCCAACTGGGGCAGGGGGTTGAAGGTTAGGATCTCTATGGCTTGAAATGTAATGAAATGACTCGGGATTCCTCAAATGTAGAAAATCCGCACATGATAAACTGTACACAAGAAATAAACCGCCTTATATATATATATGTTCTAGAAGAGATGGATAACGATACAGATAAATGGGAATCAGATCCAATGATGAATTCCTGTCCTTCTTCCGGTAATGACGATTTCTTTATAACAAATATCATTAAAAATTTTCTTTCAATTCAGTTTATTAACAATTTAAACAAATTTAATATATCATTGATTTATGCAAGATGAAAAGACACCCTCGCGCATTAATATTGTCTTTTGTTTAATAGCTGTGTTGAAGAGATGGACCAAATTATTATTTTTTTTTCCTGTTGTTAAATCATTTGTTTCTGCAATAATTCAAGTATGAATAATAAAAATGCTTTTACATCAAACATATATTTTTGTTTAGACGAAATGGAATATGACACTGATTCCGATTCAGTAAACTCCTTTAGTGACTTAGAGTTTGATTTGAGTTCAGATTGTGATTCTGGTAAGAAAATTATATTTTTAGTTGTTTACTTCGGTGTTCTTTCACAAAAAAACTCGAAAATGTAGAGAAAAAAAGGAGAGAGAGAGAGAGAGAGAGCTATTTATAAACTCATTCCTCAAACCATAAATTTTAGAAACTGTTCAAAATCAACCATCTCATGATGATTCAACAGAAAACGGGTCGAAAAACAAAAAGCGTAAGTGATTTAATCAAATTTGACACTATCTCAAACTTGTACAAATTAATAATTCACCTTATATACAGTGACATATTTTATATATTAGGAAAACGGGGACGACCGTTCGGATCTAAAAAGAAAAGTGTTGTTGATAATTTCAATGAATCGTCAGAAGACGAGATACCTTCAACAGGAAAAAGAAGTAAGCATAGAATAGAGGAATTCCTGCTCATTTACATGTACTTCATATTTATGTCATGTTAGCTTTATTGGGCAAAAATAACAGACAAGAAAAAAAAAAGTCTCAATTATAAAACAAAATTTTATTCAGTTTACAGGACCACTTGCATGTTCTACGTCTGGAAAAACAGAAGATTAAAATTCTACGATTTTAAAACGTTATTTCTGTGCACCGTTATTTAACATAAAAATTCAATCCAGTGTCTTCATGGACGTCCGCAAAAGCATTAAGAATTTCACTATCGTGTTTTCTCAGAAGTCTGCATCGAATTCATTGCGGACGTCTGAGAAAACATTACATTGAAATTCTTGTTGAATGTACTGTTTTCTCAGACGTCAGCGTTGATTCCGATGACGTAAGGAACATGTTTTCAATAGTTCCATTTAATGTTCCGTGTTTTTCCCAGATTGTTTTAAAAAACTAAAATATTACTTGTGTGCCTCTATACCTAGCACATATAAGTATTTAGTTATTCTTTTTTTTTTCTTAATTGTACAGTACATGTATTATTTATGTCCTCTTCTTTTTATCGTTTAAGAAAGTGCATAATGTTAGTACTGTGAGAACAGAAAATGCGCCTTTTGAAATTTTTGATAGTGTGCAAGAGTACTTCATGTAATTAAAAGACATTAGATATTATATTAGAATTTAGGTAATCTTTACAGAAAATTAGTTTAACAAAAGCTTGCAATTCAGAAAAACATAAGTTGTTGGCCCCAGAGAGCATAAGGAGGCTTCCATGCTGCATTCTATTGTGTGCCATGACGCTAACAGTTGTTGACATAGCAACATGCAGGGCAAATTTTGAGGCACTGAGCACACAAGAAAAGGGTCAATGGATCTTAAATTGGTTTCAGAGCCATTCATCGTGAGTGTGATCATGATAGAAAGAATTTTATATCAGTCCTTTAATCTGATTAAAAGTATCATTTTAAAATCATTAGTAAAGGCAATTGGTCTTATTCTTTTAAGTTTATTTTCTGGATTTGGTAGGTTTTCAGAGGATGGACACTTTGACACCAAATTTCTTGTTGGAAGCGTAACAGTTTGTTTAACCTCGTGGTTAGCCGTGCTGGGAATCAGTAAAAGCACGTTTTATAACATCAGAAAAAAGTTTCAAAGTAAGAAATTATATCCCATGAAGATAGATGAAAACACAAACAAACACAAACAAAACACAAAAATGAGCTCATTTGAATAATCATATAACATGTTCATTATTCATATTCATTTCACATAATCATATTCATTTAATCAAAGAGTACCAAAAGAAATCGTTTTCGTTCTCAAAATTAATACAGTTTCCCTTTTTACCAAAGTATGTTCTCAGTTAATATCTGCTTTGAAGGAGGCGTTATTGAAGTGGGCAGCTCTGGTCCATTGAAGGGGAAAATGAGCTGTGAGTCTCTCTGTGCAGTGGCCTGGTTGCGAGAGTTCTCAGCAAATTATGCGGAGAAACTTCCTAACGAAATTAAATTAAATCTCCCCCCATGCCTGACAAAAAAGTACGTTTATGAACTTTACCTAGAACAAGCATCAAACCCAGTATCTAAGTCCCACTTCTATAAGTTGTGGAAAAGGGAATTGCCATTTGTAACAATACCAAAGGTATTTAATCCCGATTTGAATTGCAATGATGCCATAAATTTCATATATATCAAGACAGAATTGCATTTTAATTTTGATATCTTGACTGTTGTAGCGGAGTCGTTTCTCAAAGTGCGACAAATGCACATTGATAAAAGAACACCTATCAACATGTAGGGACAAAAGTCAGAGGGAGAAACTAATTAAAATGCGGGAAAAACATTTGAGGCAACAAAAGTAATTTTTTTTTTAAATTTGAAGAATTTCTTTAACTAGAGGCCCATGGGCCTTCTTTTTCGCGCTGTCCTTCATCAAATTTTGATTTTCTTCCTTCTATAATTCAGTGAAGAATTTTGCACTCATTGATTACCTTCAAGGGATCGTTACTATAATTATCAAATAGAAATCCACGAGTCTATGGGCCAACCATTTGTTACTGTGATGTAACAGTAATAGTACAGATACTAGTAAAGGAACACTGTTGTTCAAAATAGACTTCCCAAATATCTCACACTACCACATTGCCCCCTCCAAAGAAGATGTCCGTCTCTTCTATAGTGCCTACGCGCCTGTGTGGCGTAAAGTTTCGGTTGGGGTGGAGGTGGGTGTTACTTTATTCCACAATAATACCGAACAAAACTTTGATGAATATAATGATTTTTCTATCGTCGACTTCCCTTATTTACGTAGCAGTATACCTTATCACCTGCAAATGGAGTCAATATCTTCCAGTTGATTCAATATGCAACTAGTGACAAATAAGTTGATGGCGACACACTTGGATGTTAACAGTCCCGTTTAAAATCAATATTTCGCAAAGATTTACGTCGATACTATGAACTTGACAGCAGCTACATTTTCCAAATTTTACCGGACTCTTGGGAAACTGAGTCCCCATCATTCAATTATGGTGAATTTGTGTCAAAGTTTGTTGAAGGTGGCCAGTTATTACTGTAAAAGAACTTGAAACTGAAACATTTACGACAACATCATCTACAAAAGACGACAGACAGATTGTTTCCGGAAAAGTAAACTTGAATCTTCTGCAGAAAGACCTTAAAAGTAGATTTATACAATAAGGCTATAGTCTTTATTCTTTAAAATAAAAAAAAAAAATACTTGAAAAAATAGATATGCTGACAAAAAGATGAAAGTTCATTTTTATCCTCAAGATAAAATAATTCGAGGAACAAAAACAAAATAGTGATATCGTAATTTTACATGGATTTGCATTTTTAGTGAGGAAAGAAAAAAGTATTATAAGCATATATCAAAGGCAAAGAACAACCCAGAAAAATACCTTTCGATCATTGTTGATGCGATGGACCAGAATAAAACCTATCTGCCACACTTCCTATATAATGGGAAATACTTGTCAAACATGTGGAAATTGCGACTAAACCTTATGGGAGTGATTATTCATGGGATAGGTATACATATGAAATCGGCTCACTGCAACACCTTCTGATGAGAATTCACTATAATACAACAGCATTTTAAATTACATAATTATGATCACACCGAAAATCCTTAAGAATGAAATGTTAAAATTATTAAACCGAGATCAGCCCATAGCCTCGACTCCTGATTAAAAACATCTTTTCATGTACTATATATGCATTATTACTTTGTAGGCATATATGGTTTTTTTGATTTCTTCCAATGGTCACATGGCAGCAACCTTACAATATCCATCCTGATACATTGTCTGCTTATGTTAGAAACACTTCCAGACACTTTATACTTACAGATGGATAATTGTCCGGGACAAAATAAGAATCGGTAATTTTAGATGCAACCAAATCACTATGAATGAAGTTAAGACCTATTTCGTTAATTGGTATGATATCATCTGGATTAACTCTACTTTGTAATTTAATAAAATTGCTTTAGATTTATACTGGGATTCCTATGTTGGCTGGTAGAGATTGGCATATTCAAAAAAATAAAGATTTCTTTCCTTATGGTGGGACATACCCACGAGGATATCGACCAGGTATTCTCCAGGTAAAATCACATTGATATTACGTCAAGACTGAAACAAGAATGTGCAGATTAAAACGTGTAATCAGGATTCTGACCTGCATAATAACCGTGCGCTTGCAAGCGTACAGACTGACGAGACTTGACTGTATATGAGCTTTTTATACATGCAGCTCAATTACCACTAGATATCTTTGATTTTCATAATCCTACTCTCGACCACTGCAGTTATAAAAAAGATGAAAGTTTGATTTGCAATTTTTGAAAAGCTTATAATTCTTTTCTTTTCAATTTACCTCATCGGTATCCTAGTACAGTTAAACAAGGTTACAGCGAATACAATTACTAGTATATTGAACTCACGTTTACAACAAAGTAATTTTCATTCCCTGTAGTTTTAAATCGCATTACGGACTTATGTTTGTTCCAAACAATTCGCTTTAAGCATTCTTAATTTCATATGACTTTCTAAAAACATAAAAACAAATATGACAAAATCTTCACTATGTCATTGCCTAAAGTATGTTGTATACTAATTTTAAATAAAAGGTTATTTTTACCTACAGATTTTCCAGCCTTCTTTCAAGGCGGAGTGTTTTGACTCTACCAAAACTAATGACATCTTTTGAAAAGTGTTACACTCCAACTCCAACGGGTAGGGATGTTCTTTTATCTACTCATAAGACTTCAAAAAGAAAAAAAATCTCTTAGGATACTACATCCCAATGAAATTAAATCCAAGCAAACATAACCCACCGTTTTTTTTCATTTTCATGGATATAACTTCATTAAATTGAAAGGGAAAGGAAAAGTACGCCCAAAGTACTCTACCGAAGAATGCTACACCAAAATCTTAATTAATGGATCTCTAAGACATTTCATTTGAAATATGGTTTCAACATGGGAGGACTAATAATTTTATATCAATTCTTTTGATACTTTTGAAATAAAATGTATAATGTTGATTTTGTTTGCAGATGAGATGCTATAGATTTGAGAAGTGCACAAATAAATATCTAATAAAACATGTGTAGAATCAGATAATAAAAATTTGTGACAAGATGGTGTTTTTCTCTGAAGTTTGCCGTTAGAGGAGCTACTTTCCGTTTTGTACTAGCCCTATACACTGTGTTTCATTGTAGGTCCGTAGGAAGCAATATTCAGCGGGGGAGGGGGGGCACAACCATACATTTTTAGTTGAGGGCACTGTCAACTATAAAAATTGCTTAAAATGCAAAAAAAAAAAAAAAATAATAATAATAATAATAATAAATAAATAGATAAAAAGAATAAAAAGGTCATCATAGGTTATTATTGAAGGGGCACAAGCAAAAGTAGCTTTGTTTTCTATAGTAATCTATATATCAGCAAAAATATTGGCACCCCCATCTCCCCCGTGCCCATTCCGGTTTCTTCGGCCATGAATTGGCCAATTATTCTGCGTTTAAAATTCAGCACGTTCTAAAAATAAATTTAATTTAATATATAAAAAGAACGTACACGTGTACAAATAGTAAATGATGATTTTTTTCCTGATATGAAGTTTGCAAGAATATTTCCTTATGATTACAAAATGTCAAATTTTCTCAATGACTTTTAAAAAACTTATTCCACAAAGAATCTACACGTTACTTGGAGGATCCAAATGAAAAGGAAAATTCGCTTTTATGGAAAACATATGCTCTGTTGGATAAATTCCAAAAAAAAAAAAAAAAAAAATCTCACAGATTGATCACAGATCATTTAAAGAACTCGACAGGTTCTCTATCGCAGATACAAATTTGGGGGCGGAGACTCGTGCTTCGCACCCCAAAGGACAATATAGGCTAAGACCCCTTTTTGGCCCCTCATTTGTGGTGTCTCCAGGGGCGATGAAATAGTTAACCATTATTAACCTATTATCATCCCTCTTGGTTCACAGTATCTGGAACACAGGGGTCCATTATAATAGTTTGGCAGACACACTGCTGAACCATTTAGTGCGAATAACTGACATAATATCTCATACGTACGACTTAGTATATCTTACGTACGACTTACTATCACGTACATACAACATATTATCTCGTAGGGACGACTTAGAAAAAAAAATATTTTCAATTGGCAGCAATACGCTCCCGTTAAAAAATACAAAAATTTCCTATAAAATAATTTAGAGCTAGAGACAATCTTTCAAAAGAGATGTCCATTAAATAAAATTTTGGTGTAGAATTCTAATATATATATATATATATATATATATATATATATATATATATATATATATATATATATATATATATATATATATATATATATATATATATATATTATACATTTCCATTATGAAATTTATTACAGGAATAAGAACTGACAAAGTCTTCAATGTGTCGGAAGCTTTAAACCTTGAAAACATTTCAGGCCATTCAAAACCTCACGTCTTTAAAATAATAAAGGAAAACTCCAAAGCCACTATTTACTGGAAAAAATGGTCAACCGATCCGGTATGTAATAAGATTGATATATGGTAAATGAATATTTCCTCTAGCAGAAAAATAAATAAACTTGCACCTGTTTCCTTTACGGTGAGATAAAACGATTACTCTGAAAGCTTGAAAATATCACCTTAAGTAGTGACTAAAGGGTATATTCTCCTTAAATCAACATTTTGAGATTAAATTTCAGATTTGGCAAAAATGTGACGGAAACCTACTAAAAGACCCAAATTTGACTTTTCAAACAATCCGGCCATCTCTAGAAGACTTAGATTTTGAAAAATTAGAAAAAGATGTAAGGGGGTCATTTTCATACTTTAAGAAAGAGGAAGATAAGCAGTGGTGGGAAGCCTTTTTTGCCGAAGGTATTATTATTTGATGTAATAATTTGCTCATAATTTATCTCATATTAAAAAAGTAAATAAATTTTCAATAATATTAATTTTATGGAAAAAACATACTTCAAGTTCGAAAAAAAAAATTCAAAAATTAGGGGGTCAGTTTGCATTTCATTAAGGAGTTTATGTTTATACGGACAGACGGATAAAATGTGATCAAAAAGGCTCACCTGAGCTTTGAGCTGAAGTGAGCTAAAAATCTTTTTCGGGGGGGGGGGGGGGGAAGCTTTATAAGTATGACTTTTCACACCAACTTCACTTACCATGGGTGCGCGTTTCCTAGGAGGGGGGAGGGGGGAGGGGTCCAAGGTTCCTTTTAGTTGATTTAGTATATGCATGTAATTACTCTCCAATTTCCTGACCCCCCTCTAGGTCTGCGCATGGAGTGGATATATAAAATAATAGTTTTATAAATTAAAAAGATACTGATATATGTTCTTCCAATTTAAGACACTGCCGATTACGAATCAGAAGATGAAGAAATCTTCCCAAGATTATGGGTTAAAAAAAGAAAAGAGCCACTGGCCAATAATGAAGAAGAAGATTTGGACATTTCAGATACAGAGGACGCCATTCCCCCAGTAATTCATTTGCTACAATTAACTCTTTGATTAATAGTTACATTTATATGCCTTGCTTAAGGAAGTGTCGTTTACTGATTTTTTTTTGGGAAAATTTAAATAAGTACACGACTATATATAGTTGTGTACTTATTTTAATTTTCAAATAAAAATCAGTAAACGACCGTAGTACAAAACACCTGTGAAATAAGCTTTAACTCTTTTCAAACATATCAATTAAAAAAAAAAATCAGTATCTTTATGTAAGTTTACATGTACTTACAGTAAACTGTCCAAAAAATGAAGACATGCCATATATTGAAAATTTCGATTCCTCTACTTAACATTTATTTATGTAATCTACCTGTGATTTCTTATTCATTCGTGTTAGAGATATGGTAGTTGTATATGTGTCCTCATACAAAGAATAATTATTGAGTGCAATTTCTGATCTCGATTGTCTGATTTCACCGTCTTCTTACTGAGGATTTTTTTTTTCATAAACCATCTGAAAAGTATGAGGAAAAAAGTATTTTGGTGAATTTTTCGTATATGATACAGGAGAATGATGTGGTAAAGAATAAAATATCAAAGTACAAAAAAAAGAAGCCAACCAAACAAACACCCTCTATCACACACACCCTCCATCACACACACCCTCCATCACACACACTCTCCATCACACACACCCTCACACACATACAAAACAATTTTGAAGCAATAATTAGCCTATCTTAAGAAATTCTTTTCTTTATTTACAGGTTATTATTGGCAAAAGAAAAAGCATAAAAGATAATAACAGCATTTTGCCAGGTAGTATGGCCCTAATGGATGTTCCAAAATACGCGGGGGAATGGCCTCAGATTGGGAAAGTTGTTTCTGTAGATGGTACATGTAATACCTTTAATATTCACTGGTATGCAGGTAGTAAATCATCATCATGGAAGGCGTGTCGGAGGGCAGTGCAGGGAGGAAAGGGAAGGAGGGAGGATTGGGTGGAGAGTGTTTCCATCAATTATTTCATTATGTCATTTTCTCTCACTCCATCTGGGAACATTCCAAGAAATGTCAAGGAAGTGATAGATTCCTATCACGACTAGCTAATATTGTTTATTGGTCATTTGATCAGAAAATTAAGATTGGAAATATTTCCATCAGTTACAATCAAAACATTTAGTTATAGACAATGAAATGGGCGGGTACAATTTGGCACGGACGTCCGAGAAAACATTGGATTGAAATTCTAGTTTGAAATTCATTTTCAATCCACATGAGCTGTGTTTAAAAGCATAGTACGAATGTATGATCCAGAAGACAAATAAATTCAATTCACAAATACATGCTGTTTGAAATTCATATTCATATGGGTTTTTTAGCCTATAAATTAAGGACACGTAAAAGTCATAGATTACTTTTTTAGGTGACGAAGAAGGGTGTGGGGGTGTAGAGTCAGATCATGTCTTCACATGACAGAATTTGTTTATTTTTAGGATGACTAAGAGCTTTTTTTTAGTTTTGTCTTCACTAAAGAATGTTTGACAACTTTTTCTAAAATGTATTTCCAAGTTCGTTCAACCCCCCCCCCCCCCCAACATACACATAATTTACCAAACAGAAATCAAATAGTTGTCCCTTTATATACTTTAAAACACTGGACAGAAAATTCTAACTTATATAAATTTCGTCAAACTATACCAAAATTGAAGTTATTTGTTCTTTTGGGTCAATCAGTAACACCGTGCCTTCTAGCGTAGCTAAGGTGGATTGAAAATGAATTTCAAACTAGAATTTCAATCCAATGCTTTCTCTGACGTCCGTGTCGAATTGATCCCTTATCATTAAAAGTTTTGATTGTAACTAATGAAAATGACGGAAGCTGCATATTGTTAATGATCCGTTGTATACTGAAACGCAAAAGAAACGCAACATCATATTATAGGGGGAAATATTACATATAGGACCCAAATTAAGCGTCCAAAGACTCTTACGTATCATAAGCATGAAAGACAGTCCTTGGACCGGAAGTCCAAGGGTAACTACTCTGCGCTTGGCTAGAGAAAATTCGACCTCATCATCTGAAAAACAGGCATTTAAAAATGGCAAAGAATATTTCTTTTGCTCAGATCTCGAGATTGATGCATCTATTGCATCATAGAAATCAAGCTGTAACTGAATGGCCGGGGTGGGGGTGTTTTAACAGTCATATGTTACTTTCTACAGTTAAAAGATAATTATTTAACATTTTTATCAAATCTCTGATGTTTTCAAATCAAGTTTAACCTTAGTGTATTTATTTTTGAAAATCAATAGATAAAAAATTCAAATATTTGTAGAATACTGCTTGTTGCGTTTCTTATGCGTTTCAGTATATTAGTTTGGATTTTCCTGTTTGTCCCGGGTGATGGAATCCGGTTCTAATAACCCCGATTTTTTTAAAAATCACATTTGAAAGAAGAAAGGCTTATACACATACATGTAATACTTTATATATAATGTTAAACATTATTAAAAGCTAACGAGCTTCAAGAAATATGCCGGCGTGAAGCGTCGTAGTTCTTGACCTCATGAATCTTCAAAAATTAAATCCATCTCTTAAATTAAATTTTTGTCAAATATGTCATAAAGAACGTAGAATTTCAGCTTGATACTACCTACCAACAATCAACAATCGCCAGGAAAATATAAAATATCGAGGCATATTGTGAACAATTTACAGCGTATACAAAAGCAAATACAATCTGAAAATTTCGGTAAAACTTATAATCTAATAGTCTTTGCTTCCTTGTTGTTAAAAATGTGTGTGTGTTTTTTATTATCAGAATTTGAATGCATCAACTAAACCATGAAGTTAATTAATTTTTTTGTCTAGCATTACTTTAGTCTTACTGAATGCATATATCCGTACTATTCACTGAAAATTAGATTTGATGTTTTGACCCTCCCTCTTCCCCTCTTCGTTGTCGACGTTGTAAGACTTATTTGTAATAATCGATTATATGGTCATTACGTAACATCGCAGGATCGGGCATGTTTAGATTTTTTTCACTTGACATTGAAAACTAGCCAGCTACTGATATTCTGTGATTTAAATGAAATCAGATAACTCTTGTTTTCTTGAAAGCTAGCATTAAAGGCATGGTTACTTATGTGTTCAGAATGTACACTAAAGATTTTGTGCTGTTTCATTTAGTTACAATCAGGTTTTAATTTTATGTAGATATGTTGCTTGTATGTTATTGTCTTGTAGACTTGTGACAATATAATTCACTGTCATGTAATTCTTCAATAATTTTTCTTATTTGATTTCTTTCTCTATCAGCTATTCATATTCTTATATATCTCAGCTTTTGTATTAGGAAGTGGTTATTTTAGGGTTATTTTATCAATAATTATTAATATTGTACAGTTTTTGCTAGTATGTATTTGAAATTCATTCAATATATACTTTGCATGTTTTTTTTTTATACTTATGTATGCCGATTACATGGAAATATGTGCAGAGACTGCAAATGAATTGCAAAATACATGTATGCTGAATACCCTTTCTAACTATTGTGCAAAATGGGATTATGAAGTTAAAACTAAATTTCAAATTTCTTGTTCTTCAGACATCTGGGGGTGAGCGATTGAATGTTAATATTATTACTTAAAGGCAACATTTTTAGGCAAGACATGAAAAAATCTTGAGTGGACAATTATATTTTTTCTACTTTTTTCTCATTTGTAGAAAGAGCGTAAATACGGAAAGTAGCACAGAATTTCAAGGGTGCAGGAAATTTAAAATAATATTATTTGTATAGTTTTTTTCTTAATATGAGAGCGCGTGTCCGACGAACAAAAATTAAATTGGTGTGGCCTTAATGTCTATAAAACTGAATTGTTGTATTCAGAAACGGGGGAAAAGTTGGTTGTAATGAAACATTGGTCATTCAACGGTAAAGAGATAGAGGTGGTGGTTCACTTTGTGCATCTTGGGATACTTTTAAATTTTAATGGAAAACATTTTGAATTGGGTTCATCACAAGGGCCTGGATATTGAATAAATTCATGTAGTTTTTTTTAAAGAAATATACTAAGAGTGTAAAAGAATACAAATACTTTTATACTATATTTTGAAACTGGTCGTATGTCTATGTATATTTCACGTATTTCAGAAATGTTTAAATACTGGTTTAAATCGTTACAAACAAGCAATTGTTTTGAATACGGCATATGGAATTTATATAGTGAGTGTGAAAACCAAAATTTTATGGGTAATAATTGTGCATGTGTTACAAGAGATTGAAAGATTTATTTACACAATATTTTATTTTATTCATAGAGATTGAAAGTTTTTTTTTTGTACAGAATTTATTATGTGATATGGATAAAGAATCAAAGTGTAGTATATATAAACACTCGATTAGTAACTTCTGCCTGCAATACTACTTGGTGAAGCCTATTCCAAAAATGTTTCAGGGAATCGTTTCTAAACTTCCTTTGTCCTCACACAGCTTATTACAGTGTAATTGAAACTGGCGGGTACAAACATATCCCAAGAGATCAAATGTTGTGTCCAGTTTCTAAATCGCGTAAAGATATAGAGAGAATGAATATCATTTTATACTTATCTGTCCTAATACATAGACTTAAGAAATTCATTTAGAAATATTATTTGAGCAACCCCTCTGTGTTTAAGTTTAAACTGCTCATTAGTGCTAATAATGTTAAAGAACTCTGTAATTTTAAACCCTTTTGAAATGAGAAACTGCCAATAATAAATCTGTCTGCTACATGTGAACTTTACACGCATATGGCATCTGTTACATTTGTAAAAAATATATGTGTATTATTATTGTTGTATAATCCCTGTCATACAACATTATAATTATTTTTTTTCTTTATCACCTTAAAATATGTGTACAACTGTTCATTACCTACGTCTGTTTATCATTGGCAATAAATTACAATAAAATTACAATTACTCCCAAAAAATTACCGATGTCATATTTTTCAATAGCATTTCTGCATGACTACATCATCAAAGAGTCTTTAATAAAACTTCCTCTTTCTTATTGTTTTAAATAATCATATCCACATAATATAAAAAATGATCACACTCCCGAACCTTTGAAGATGCGCGTTAAAATTTAGACAAACTCTTTTTGATAGGTCTGCCTTACTTTTTCTCAATGATGTTCAGACTTGACTCGTGGGCCATTAAACTTAGATGCGCCCAATTTTGATATCAATTTGATTTCCTTCCAACATACAAATTTGATTTAAAAGAAGCAACAAAGCCATTTAGATATTTTTTGAAAATATTTTTAATACATTAAAACGTGATTAACACGTTTACATAAATAAAAGACAATCAATTCATACATTTAATGTCACACCACAACTATAGGATTGTACTTTGAGTTACAATTAACCGTGCATACCAAATGTCCACCAGTATTCAAGACGCAAGTTTTAAGTCCAATATGCATTGATTTTGGTGTGTATGTGTTGCATTTTTCTTCCAAGGAGATGGGTGAACATGACGAGCGATAAGTCTATATATAGTGTGACAAACATGAAGATGAAAAATTAAATTTCAGTCCTCTGCGATTGAATCGGACGTTGTAGACGTTAAACTGTTTTGAATGTGACAAAAATGGCAGTTCGTCGTCCATTTCTTCTCACTTCAGGATTACTTCAGCAAGTGATAAATTAAATTACAACATCAATGCTATATGTACAAGAAATAACTGTTTCCCTTAGGTTGAAAAAAAGAATTTACGAGTGGCGCGGGCCATTTTAGCCAGTCCATCTGGATAAGGCAATCAAACAATTTTTGAAGATGGCCTTAGTGTGTAGTGGGGGGCATTTTTTTCTGTATAACATGATTCAACTAATTTTGGCCCACAGTGGAACATATAGATGCACATTGTCCGAAATCAAATTTATAAATAACACGAACAAAACAAAACAATTTCATTGTATAATGAACAGAAAATTAGCAGTCAACTTTAAAGTGCATAAAATTCATTCAAACAGTGTCTGCATGAATAATTATTGTAATATACCTATATTGTACACGTACATGTATGCTCTTTTCTTATATTTTAATTTTTAATTGAGTGTTGGCGGCATAATAAAACAGCAAAGTTAAAATCATCCTGTGACATAATCCACTTAAACAGGTCGACATATAACTTTAAGCAGCGATTTGAAAAAAAAATAAAATAAACGATTTTAAAAAGACTCTTCCTGTAGGATATTTATACAGTTGGCATTTTAGCAAAAAAAATGTAATTCGTCTTCTGTGGAACTTGAAGCACATTTAATTCTTTCTTTTTTTCTTTCATATCTGCATGTCTCTACCCGTGAGCAATTACTATGATTCTGAATTTTATGAGAAGATTACCTTCTTGCGACTTGATGACGTAACAATAGATGAAACGTCAGTTTTGATACCAAACCTCGGGATTTGCACACTAAATTGTGTCTCTTAACTGACAGTCAAATGAATGGACGAATCACAATATCTTCATTTCTTAAACCGTATTTTTCGGCATCAAGAGATGATAGTATCAATCCGCTTTTGTAATACATGTTTATTATCCTAAAGGAGTGTCTCATTGAAAACCAGAATTTTTTATTCTTGTCGTAAAATATGAAATAAATGCCTTGCAGTCAAATTCATTTATAACTGAATGTAAGAAAGAAATCCGTCACCAGGATAAAAATAAAATCAAACAACTGAACAATGAACAATGAACGAGTTAACAAATGGAGAGGAAAACAAATAGAAAGGAAGATATACCTGTGATCTTATCTGCAAAAGAAAGGTAATACCATTTTGTATTAAATCTGAATACAACAGGTGTATTTTACAGTCCATATACATGTACTTGAAATATATATTTAATGTAGGTCCTAATGTTTTCACATTTTGGTACCATGTCAAACTCAGTTAAATATATGACCCACGTCTAAGTGAAAGTTCGATTCGTAATGTGCACCGAAAGTAATCGTAGCTACTCGGCCGTTTCCGTAACCTCAAACTAACTCTTTTCCGGTTACGGAAAAGGACGAGCTTGACCAGAGTGAATCTGACGTCACAGCGGAAGTGACGATGGGAGCGTCTGCAGTGCCTTGTAAGATCGGAGGAGGACGCTGTCATACACCTTGTCGTGTTTATCTCCAAAAGTAATTTATTGTCGAGCGTTTCAATCTTTGATTCAGCGATTTTTTTTGCTGCGGCGATCGATGCTTCTAGAAAGAGAACAGCAAGGTTAGTGAAAATATCGGCGTGGTGGAAATGCCAAAGATTAACCTCGAAGGGTAACGTTAGCCTATAGGCTAGAATTCAGTGATGGAAGTAAGATTTACGCTAGTTTGCGTGGAATTATGTAATCTTTGGGAGTACAGTGCTTGGATAGTAATTGAAAATCGGACATATGTTGTCTTTGGTGCGTTCTTTACATTGGATCAGCGATCCAATGTAAATCCCCGTTAGGGTTAGTTGTGCCAGGCATGACTAACCCCCCCTATTACGCGTGCGCCAACTAACCCTGTTGACACAAAGGGAGACTGACTAAGCCCTGGGACTAAGTCAACAAAACAAAATAAAATACATAAAAAAAAAGAACACCAGCACCATCAACACCTTAAAATACAATAAAATACCTAATATATAATCAAATGGAAATTAAAAATAAAATTTAAAATGACTTTAACAAAAATTAAGGTATGAATGACAGGGATGTTGAAATCATTCCTTGAGTTTCAACTCAGCCAGTTATTATGAAGAAAACTCATATTAGTTGTCAAAGATAGTATGGACTAACCCAATATTTATGAGAAAATTCATGTTAGTTGTCTAAGTTAGTCGCTCTAAACACAACAAACAGTAGAAATTCTTGTTAGTTGTCTAAGTTAGTCTAACTAAGGGTTTTCTTCCTGAAAACCCCAAATTCCAATAATCAAAATAATTCCAAATTCAAATAATACACTGTTGTATGGTTTTAGCTTTATTGTGCCCTAAAAATTAAATGTTTTCAAAAAGTTTTGAAACTGGCTTAAATATTAGTTGAGTATATGACTGTAATAAATCAGGAAAGAATATAGCATGATGGAGTACATTCTGGATATATGACGTCATTAATTTGATGCATTTCTCTATTTTAAACAGAAAAAGGCTCAAAATGACCCATTTCAAGGGTTATTTTCCTTTAGAAAATAGTGTCCACAGCCGTCGCCCACATTAATTTTTAGATATGTTGTGTAAAATTCTTTGAAAAATCACATATCTCAAAATCTTTGTGGGCGATGCCTGTGAACAATATTATCTGAAAGAAAATTCCATTGAAAATTGATGTCTTCTGCAACTTTTTAAGAAAATACGGGAAAATGCACAAGTTTATGACGTCACAATTAGCATTTGGAAGGTCATGTGAGAAAAAAGATTTGTATGATCTTTCTGCGTGGAATTTCAATGATTCAAAAAGCATGAGTTTTAATTTTTTACATCACTTTTATTTTTAAGAAAAACACAGGGCAAGATTTGTACTGAAACCGTACCTTGTTCTTTGTAAATATACTGAAAGGAAAATGAAACACAAGGTAAACTTTTGAAGTGATTTAATGTTATATTTTCAAACAAATTTTCCAATATTGTAATCTAACATTTAAACTCATCTTTTATCATCAAGTAAGCAAAATCTCATTTGATTTTTACTGATAATTCATGAGTTATTGAACTCAAATGACGGTACCCCCCAAAAGTGAAAATCGAAAATTCTCATTATCTTCTATGCCTCCCTCACTCATCTGTCACAGCCTTAATTCTCCTCTGCATGAAGTTCAAAAGTGCATTTATCTTCCTCATAGGGATATTATTTAACCCTTTTGACAAGGCAGCGCTTAGTTGGTTGAGAGTAGCTTAGACATTCTGATGCCTTTAAACCCTACCATCCAGTTAGTCCCACAGATGTTTGACTAGAAAAAAAAGATGGATTGTATGGACACCAGTCGAGTGGGTTCTGTAAAATCCATCTTTTTTCTCCAGTCAAACATCTGTGGGACTAACTGGAAGCTGTGAATGGTTGCGAGAAAATCTTGACAAACTCTGGCTATATTATGCTGTGGGTTATCATGCTGGAAAATAAGGCATAATGACCACATGTGCGCGAGTGAGAGGAACACTGACGTAAAGTTAACGAGCTCACAAACCAAAGTCGTGCAATCAGTTCTTTCAGTTTTTGGGTGAATGTAACGATTACGATTGTCTACTGTATTAATAGTGGTTTCAGTGGTCGTAAGTGATGATTACACAGATGGCAGGAAAAATAGCCCAATCTTAACGTGGGGTTGTTATGCATAAACGTCATCATCACAGTTGGTTCGAAACCTTTCCAGTCCATCTCTAATGATGGATAAGATGTTCTATATGGTGAAAAAATTCACAACAAACTGCACAGCAACATATTCTTTCCTTTTTCTTTAATCAGGCAATGCAATAGCCAGACCTCATGGAACTTCCGTCAGCCATACCATGATTAAAAAAAAATCAAATTGTCTTTAGATATCGAAAAATTATGTGTAATATCTTCAGTGCAAGTGGATGTGTTGACAAACCTGTCATCATCAATATGTACGTTTTTTGGCTTTTTACCATTTTCCCTATGTGACATCATACATTTCATGGTTGAGTAATTCTGAACACTGATTTGAGTGCACGGTTACTAAGATACCCCTTTGACCTGTTTTTTGTAAATTTTGGCCATGTAGTCTAAAACTTCACATATTATGTTACCCTGCGTTTCTTTTCCCTTTTAGTATATAGAAGAGTTTAAAGGAGATTTGATTTCTCTACAATTGTCTTTTTTTTCCCTTTTATTGGAAGCACATATAAAATATTTCAAAGTCTGTTTCAAGGACATCAAACTACCTTAAATCATATTTACAAGCTATGAAATGGACATTGTTGTGTGAAAAAAAATTCAATCTCAAGCTTCATTTTGAGATTTATTTTAAGAAATTATAATTTCAAGAATTATTGTTCCTGGCATAGGGATGAACATTCTTAAGCAATGAGAGAAAAATAGTACAAGGCAGATAAATGCCCTGTAGATTACATTTCCAGTCTGAGATGAATTTTGCCAATGCCTTATGAGGCTGCAAAAGTGATTTGTATGTCCTACCTGTAGTTATATGAATGATTCCTATTACTTCTTTAAATTCTGACAGTACAAAATTAAGTTTTTCATTTTATCAAGGGAAAGTCCTAGTGTTCAGGGAAATGCTGTGTTGTCGTTGGGAGGTCTGGTGTTGGCCACACAGAAACATTGGGTTGACCTTGACAAGGAGACTCAAGGTCAGCTTGACCAGGTCAAGGAGTTTCAGACTCAATCTCACTGGGTGACTATTGTCATGGATACGCTTATGTCTCTGATGGATGTGACCTATCAACCCAAAGGAAGCATACTGGGAATTTGTCAACAGGTTAGTTTAATATTTCAGAACATTATACACTTATCCATTGGCTGTGAATTGGGAAAGCTCTTTTACCAAACCCACTAAAGGAACCATCCCTTGAGGGCTTGCCTGAGGAGGATAGTTCCTGTCAATGGTTTGATGAAAGAGCTATTCCACTCACAGCCAGTGGATAAGCATTTTATTATCAATGTATGTTCAGAGTTGTCATAATCACTGTCACATATTTGGTCTGACACAGTCAAATGTTCTGTCGGACCGGACAAAGTTTTGTCAGACTAGATACATATACCTTATTTTGTATAATGAGAAAGGAAAATAACTGCACCAAAAATGTCTTTTATTATTTTCAATAGCTTCTGATCTCACAGGTTTCTTTTCTTATGATAGAGTCTTTAGTCAGAGACAAAGATGACAATATATGATTTATGTCTCTGCTTTAACCAATTTGATTGACCGTCGTCACTGTGCAGTCATCTCTGCTGTTTTTTTACCTTCACCTGCACACCCTGATCCCGATCTTTTAAAAATTTACATCAAGCTTGATTTTTTCAAATGGTCATTTGGACTGACATTTTCTTGTAAGTTGTTGGTTCAGGCAAATTTTCACTGGCCTTGCCGACAGGACTGATGGTTTCTGACAACTCTGTATATTATAATTTTTTGGGTTGTAAAGCACATTTATACCCAGGGCATAGCTTTTTGGAACTCTTTAGTGTTGGAGAAGTCATCAACCAATCATACTGCAGAAAATCAAAATTGACATCAAGAGTTGAATGAAAACTTTCTGAGGGGCAAAGGATAGCACATTTTGTTATACTTCGGTTAAAATGTAGTATAATACAGTTGTCAGTATAGTTTGTGCTATCCATTCCTCAGAAAATTTTCATTCATATTTTGATGCCAATTTTGATTTCACTCGCAGCCAGTGGATAAGTGAATACTATTTTTTTGGTCTTCAGTCAAGACTTTATAGGGGAAACCTGTAGATTTTAGTCAACTATGTTAATGAATAGTTTCAATTTAATTCTTTGTCCATTTTTAGGTCCTACTTTGCATACTGTTAGATATTTGAAAAGGCTAAATAAATTCAATTGAAATATTTGAATTCAATAGATATACAAAAGTATATGTTGTTAGAAAAATTCCCTTGCAGACTCAAACTGATGAGTTCAAGCATGAATTAGGTTGGTTGCTGGTATCACCAATAGATATTTTACCTATATGCACCCACTTCTTTCTTTTCAGAGATCAGTCAGTGACAGAATGACTTGTAGTTTCCTCACTCAGGCTTCTTCAGTGTTGGCACTCTGCCAGCTTACACCAGTAATGATCAACATAGATGTGAACAGGATATTTGTAATTTCTGAGACCCTGACAAAATGGTTACCAGGACAACCGGAGGCACCAGAAGCACTGGTCTTACAGCTGGCTTATGGTTTGGGGCTGGGTTGCATGCTGGGAAAACTGTTAGAAGAACACTTTATGGACACTTGTGGATCCAAAGTAATTGGTTTTTATCATACATACACCTTAGCTATGGCACTGGACAGTCAATGTTCAGACAATTTCAATTTCATGATTTTATTTTCACAACTGATGAACAACTGGTGTAGATTTTCATATTTTAAATTAATTAAGATTTAAAATATCTTTCCATTTGATTTATTGCTTTATATAAAGATAGGACTTTTCTGTAAATTACACAATTTAAATCAACCCCATTTCAAAGATGTCAAAAAATTAAAACAGGCAATAGCTGATTTATTTACTGACTCCACATTTAAATAAAAGACACATTTAAAGTCAATTTAATTATAGAAACGTGAGGTTATTCAAGTTTAAAATGGTGAAAATTTTAATTTGAAAGTAAATAACATTATATCACGTATATCTACACTCAATCTTGTATTATCATTTTTTAGCTCAGATAGTATGCCATAAATAGCTTTAAAGGTTCTCATCATTAACATAAGACTGATCCTTTCTATCACAGTCTACTTAATTTAGAGAATTAATTCAAACATGATTCAACAACTATAAATTGTTGATATTTGCCAACGTTAAATTTAAATTCAATTTCATTTTAAATATTAATTTTTTTTATCCAAAAAGTGTCATAGGAATATGAAAATCTACACCAGTTGTTCATCAGTTGTGAAAATAAGATTTGAGATATTGAGTCAATAGACAAAGAAAAAGTGGTTGGATCTTCCAGCCTCCTTCAACATATCCATGGTATTGGTATTTGAGATACTGATGATCAAGATACCAAAGATCAATTATATGATTTAAAACTTAGGTTGTCAAATTGATCAGTTTTTATTAATCTGTTACTCACTTGCCATTTCAATAGAGTACTCAAGCCCTTGGCCATTACTAAAAAAAAGGAATCAAAATTTATACAGATTGTCCTTCAGGATTGTGTTTTTTTTCTTATGGTATTATGTTATTTCAGTATCTAATTGCTAACATTAACTGAGTTATAGAGTGAGTAAGATATAATCAAAATATCTTCAATTAATATGAATACACATATTTATGATAAACATTCAGTTTTTAGCTCACCTGAGCTGAAACCTCAAGTGAGCTTTTCTGATCACATTTTGTTTGGCATCTGTCTGTCTTTTTGAAAGCTTCTCAAATTTTTAACTTCTTCTGAACCACTTGGCCATTCCAACCAACCTTGCCACAAAGCATGCTTGGGTGAAGGGTATTCAGCTTTGTTCACAGGGCCATGCCCTCTTTCAAGAGGAGATGATTAAGAATTCATGATCATTTGAAGGCATCTTAAAAATCTTCTCTAGAACCACTGAGCTAGAAAAGATGAAACTTACAAGGAAGCTTCATTACCTAGTGTAAATTTAAATTTGTTCAAATCTTGAACCCCCCCCCCCCCCCCCCCCCCCCGGGGTAGGGGGGCACAATGGGTGACTATAGTTTTACATAGGTATATAGATATATAGGAAAAAATCTTTAAAAGTCTTCTCCTCAAGAACAGCAAATCCATATCAATCATATTGATATGGAAACATCCTCAAATAGTGTAGATTCAAGTCGTAGGCATTGGAACTTTCAATTTCAATTTGCTTCTGACGCTTATACAAGTTTGTTCAAATCATGATCCCTGGGTGGGGCCACAATGTGGGTAAAAGTTTTATGTAGGAAAATTCCTAACATTTAAAAAAAAATCATGTTAGATCCATCCTCGGATACCAACGGGTGATCTAGTCTTTTACACATCACCCATAGGCAAACTCGCCGAAATATTGTTGTATGTAATTAATATGCGCGGGTCATTTGATTGGATACTCCTCAGAGTCGAGATGGCAAATTAAGAAATTAAAAGTTTACGTTATGTTTGTATATGTTTAGCAATGACAAAAACTTTTCTGTTGGTAACACACAGATTGTAAACCAGTCTATTCTACAAGAATTGGATATATTTGTAAATGAAGAATTCATTATTTCTCAATTAATACTAAAAAAAATTTTCCATTGGATCTAATCCATAGCCGGATACCCACGGGTGATCTCATCTTTTACTCATCACCCATGGGCAAACTCGCCGAAATATCATTGTGAAATATGCTAGATTTTTTATTAAGAATCAAGATATTAAACTTAAATAGAAACTAATTAACATATTTTCAAAATTGAAGACTTTCAATTTTCTGATTGTTTGTCTATAATCAACAAATTAGCATATTTTACAACGATATTTTGGTGAGTTTGCCTATGGGTGATGAGTAAAAGATGAGATCACCCGTGGGTATCTGACTATGGATTAGATCCAACGGAAAAAATTCTTAGTATTAATTGAGAAATAATGAATTTTTCATTTACAAATATTATATCCAATTCTTCTTGAATAAACTGGTTTTAGTAAAAGGAGTATTCTACTTAAGTATAGTAGTGTGGTCCCTTTTTACACCCTTGGTTTACCGGTTAAATATTAGCATACGGTATTTTGTTTGTTTTCATTGTGTATAACAAAGTATTTCTAATGAAAACATTGTGTATTTATAATGAATAATTAAACATATCAAAAAATACAAGCCAATTTTTAACACCTATTGCACTAAAAAATGCCAGAACATTTTCCCCCGATCAGACTACAGTTTCTCTATTACATGGAAATGGGCGGAGACATTTAGATTAGATATAAAAAGAAGATCTTGGTATGATATTTTTCTTTCAAAGACGAATTATATGTTCAAGATTCACAATCAACTACAAATACAATTTTCTATTTACAAATCTTTGACAATAAAACGCTATAAGAAGATGAACCAAACAAGTCCATGTTGACATATATAAAATTGAGTACATTTCAGAGAGCTAGCACGTTTACTGGGGGCATTTACCCATAACGATGCAAATCCACGTGGCTTGTTATGATTCTAAACAGGCCATAAAGAGGTTAAACGCATGTAAATGAAGTCAGCGAAGAGATTCAACATCACAATACTTTTAATTAGAAAACATAGAGCACAAGGTTGTTGAACAAAGATATTTTCACTGAACCTTTACACATATAATATACACATTATATTTCAAACTCGACTCTGAACAAACCTGTGCTCAGTGTTTACGAAAGCTTTGAAGTGTGTACCTGTCACTGATTTCTTTTGATATTCATGAAAATCAAAGGACCCTGTCTTCAACATGCAGCTTCGTATGCTGCCTATATCTTTTGTTTGACATTTTTAGATGATGATTCAAATAAAAAAGACATTAGTTAATAATAAAATTTAATTTTTAAAAATTTTAAGAAATGTTTGAAATTTGACGAGTTAACTGGGGACCACAGATAAGCCTTATTGAGACTTGTTCTATGGAAAAATGGTACAATGTAATCTGTAATTTATTTAATTACTTTTGCAAAGTAATTGTAATTTTTAATCATTACAGAAAAAAATATGGAAGCATCCTCAGATATAGTAGATTCACGTTTGTTCAACAAATCTTGACACAGCAGGGCCATATTAACTCAGATGAGCTTTGTAGCGCATAGGCCTCTGTTTTTTTTTTTATTTCTTGATTTTTTTTTCTTGAAAGCAAGTTGTGGTAGCTGCCATTTACATTAATGTTGTTTTACATTACTTTTTTTTTTTAATATCAAAGTATATTTAAGCAGGGGTGGGGTGAATTAATTGATAACAGTTTGACTCTGTAGCAAAATTAAAAATTTATATAAGCTATTTATCACATGGTGATGTTTATCACGTTGATACTTAATATCTTTGCATGTACTTTTGGTTTATTGACTTCTCTGAATCATACTGAAGTGTATCTTGAATAAATATGTAATCTAATATGTTTTTCTGATCATGACAATGAGGACACAGCATCTTGCAAGGGATGCTTACTCCTCCATGGCACCTGATTCCACCTCTGATGTTTTTAGAGGTCCATGTGTATTTTTTCTGTGGACTTTTGGGCTTCATTACTGTTTGTTATCTCCATTTTGATTGTATGAATTTTAAAATTTCAAGGAAAAAACTTGCATGGTTCTTTCTTGTTCATGATATTGAAGACTTTTAAGTCCATAGACAGTTGTTTGTAGCCTACACTAAAATAAATGTGAGATGAATACCCCAATTTCTTTTTTTAAAAAAAAAAAGGGTCAGGGTATATTATATTTATTCCTGTAACTCCATCCTTAGGACATGCAGGCTTCTCCTAATTTTTTTTATATTTTGTGAAAAAATTCAAAAATACTTCATATGAATTAAATAATTAACATTTAGCTTATACAATTGTATCAGTATATTTCAATCATTATGGTTGAATTGTATTTCAAAAAAGATTGTTTAGAGTCCTTTAATAAAATTTTGGTATGTTGAGCCTCCTTCATTCATAAGTTTCTACAATGTACTTGTAAGAAAAGCAGAAAATATGAGTGAGTGAATTGAGTGGAATTATTTTGTGATCCTAGCCTGCTCTGTGCTGCACTCTGCGTCGTTAACCTACACTGATAAAAAGAGGGAGATTCAGATCTCAAAAGAGGTAAAGTTTTGTGAGCAGTACTTAAATACGCTTCAATTTTGAGAAGATATATATTTAAATCAAATATTAACTGCAATGAAGTAGATTAAAAACACTTTTTACATAAATTATGCAAGTAAATAATTTTCATGCTCATCATATTAGCTATAATTGGCTGCTTTAGCCTTTTGAAGAGTCATCCATGTTATGTAGCTTGTCAATATTCATTAAGTAGTTGCCAAATGGAGCAAATGATGTTATTATAAAATTTAGATCAAAACTATTCTGTATTTCGTTAAAAAATATTTAGATTTCCCGCATGCAATTACCGAAAGCTAAAGTAGAGATGCAAAAAATTTTAAATGAATGCTAATTCCCTTATTTTTTATTTTTCTGTACACAGTTAGAGGTTTCTATCCAGGTTCTATAATATTCTCTCTCCCTTTTTCTTGGTGGGGATGTTGATGAAATTGGCCGTAACCAGTGTAATCACAGAGGTGTGTGCACATGTCATT